GAGTATCGCGACGCTGCACCGCTGCCGCTGCGGCGGGAGCTACTGCGCGCCGCACCGGTACGCGGAGGTGCACGGGTGCGCGTTCGACTACCGCGCCGCCGCGCCGCGCCACGACGCGCCGCTGCACGCGCCCAAGCTGCCGCGCATCTAGGCTCGGCCTAACCTTAAGATAAAAATGTTCAAAAATCCTCCGCCATGTGTGTGTTTGTTTTCTTTTCTAATGAAATCGTCGTGGAAAAAAATTGCAAAAAAAATATATGTAATAAATAATTATTCGCTCTAAAATATCGGCCCCGGTAACGTCGAGGTGCTTTACTTTGTGCTAGGACACGCGTACTCGTATGGTTTCTACGCCGGGCGCTCGCCGGCTCGCCGCGGGGACGGATCGGTTGCAGATTGTTATATTTTATTACTGACGATGCCGATCGCACGCCCCGGACGGAGCGCATCTCAAGTTCCAAATGTTAAAGTTACAGTACAAATGACACATAGAGATTGTAGAAGCAAGTTTATATAAATGTTAAGTAGCTCCAGTACGAGATCGTACAAACATTCGCCTGTCTATTCCCCTTCCCTTGTTGTTATGCGGGTCCTTTTGGACCCCTTGTTACACGTCTTTTGTAAATACTTTCGTAACGTAGTACTCGTAGTACAGGAAAGTATCTGTATTGTAAACAAAAGACTGCGATTGTAAAGTAATACGATGTTATTATAATGCGCAGGCGACGCTACTCTTGTAGTGGAGTTATACAAGCGTTGTTGTTGTCGTCCGGTGAGCACTCGGCCTAATTTGTTGTTGTATAATACATTGTATAACACTAGATTAATTAATGCTTAAAACATATTAATTTTATATGAATATCATACTCGCCTGGTCTGGGAACGTCACGGTACCTACTCGGTGTCACGCGGCTGTACGCGACTGCGCCAGACTCGCGCCGGCATTTTGTTTGTTGCAGGATTACGTTCATGGCGGTCGCGATAGTTAAATTGTATTAAAGTTGTTCCAAATTAACTAAATAAGTAATATGTACCAGTAGAACTAACCGACCCTAGAGTCTCGTCCCACAATACGCCTGGATGGCGCGTCAGGAACGTGTTTCTTGGAACAAATGTGTTGTATGGCCTACTGTAAATATTCGGGTTCTAATAGTTTAGAACTGTAGGTATATTGTTTCCATATGTCGAGGGCCCGAGTGCCGGCGCGGCGCTCTGCCTCGAGCTCCTCGGAATACATAATTATATTGTAATGTTGACAGATGATATAGTTTTGTACTGTTACTGACTATGCGGTGCAACTCGTCAGTCCACTTATTAATCATTATTGTCGGCTGGGTTTGCCAATTTTTCGTATTTGATTGTATAATTTAAGTTTATAGTTAATGTTTATTTGGGAGAAATAATTTTGGCTGATTTCGATAATAAATATTTATAACGCGAAAGCGTCAAACAATTTATTTACTTTTATCACACTTATATTAATAACAATATAAAACTATTATTTGGAATAATAAAATCTATTTAAGTACTAAAATATTTTGACTTGACATGTCCCGAGTAGGAAACACCTCGTAACGAATGAAGTAGCTTACAAAATTGAGCATTACATTGAGTTACAGTAAATATAGGCAGTTAAAACTATGCAAGTCTTTTAGACAAGAGTACACACATTAGTCGGACACAGACAGGTCTACCTCATTATACAAGATATTAAAACCACATTCATAACAAAGTTCTAACAATGAAGTGATACATGATCAAACAATACTTATAGTCTTGTAGAAAAGTTTGACACATTGAAATACCACACGGTTATAAAATGGATGCAAGTGACAAATCTCACGAAGTATTTAACTCTATTTTACATCTAGTAACTAGATTAGGAACAATATTATTATCATATTGCTCATTTCAAACCTGCGACTAGGAGATATCACCTACTTCTGTGACAAGTAAAAGTGTCACGCAATCGACTATCAATATTAAGTCGCAATCCACAAAATAAATCACTAATTACATTCGAAAACTTGGGCCATACCCGTCCCACTCGCTGAACCGAAGTTGTCATCAATAAGTAACAAGAGTACGTTATTTATGATTGGATATTACCAGGAGTTCAAAGCATAATTTGCCAGAAAATACGTCATATTTGATCTACAGTATCAGGAGTTCATAACACAGTAAGAGGTGTTCTGAAAAGTAGGTAGTATAGTAGATAAAATAATTCAATTTTACCAATCGATTCCTACTTATATAATAAGTCATATTCGTTCTGGGGTATGAGGACTAGTAAGAGGTTAGAAACAAGTGTGTACGATAGGATATATTTATGAACGAAATTAGTTTGTAAATATTCATTTGAAATACTGACATTTGTAATACTTATACTACGATTATGTGTTTACTACGCTACGCGGTGCATTTTCATTGAAACTCAAATGTCATTGAAGAATGTTTGCTTACTAAACTTTACTTTTTGATGCACCTCTTAATATATTATGAAGTCTTAGTTTTTCACAGTGAATATGACGTATTTTTGCTGAGCTGAAATTATGGAACTTTTTGAAGTATATTTTTTTGTTTCAATCTTTTATTGCTGGATATTTTTGGTGCTTTGTTACGGATCTTTTAATTTATGGATAACTTCGGTTCTCACAATCCAGTGTAGACGGGTCGTACCCGGAAACAATTACACTTCTGCAAGTGTTAGCTGTTGGAACCTCTATGGCTCTATCATAGAACTTGATCATCAGTTTCTCTTAGAAAACATTCGAATATTTCTACAAAGTTCTCAATGCCTTCTCTGAAATTCTCATCGATTTGCTTTTCTTCCTCTCTATTAAAGAAAGCGTGGGCAAAGTCAATGACCTTGACGGTGCCCCAGGGGTTAGGAGTAGGAGAGTCGTACGACAACTGGTCCAACATGGCTCTGTAGTTCATCTTTATTTTGGACAGTTTATTCTCGTAGTTGTGTTCAAAGGAGTGGTTGTGGTTGAAGCTGGCTAGAGCTTCAGACCACGGGGAGTTGATGGGCGGTAGGGGTGAGAAGCTAGAGTGAGACAGAGACATAGGTGAGAGAGGGACGGATTGTAGTTTCTTGTAGACGGGACCCTTGGAAGTGATCTGTCCGCTGAAGTTGGAGCCCGAGCCCACGCCGTGCAGCGAGTGTCGGCGCCGGGGGACCGTCGCCGGCCGGCAGCCCGCGCGGGCTCTGGAACGGATACGGACAATTATAGTAAGTTGGGGACTTGGTAAATATCAATTCTGGAGATGTCTTGAAGGTAATCACTAGGGTGATGAAGCTGCATAGTATGTTATATACTAAATGAGTAGGCAAAGGTGTTTAAGTTCTTTAATGTAACCCACGCCCACAATCACAACTGATCTATCCAGGACAATCTCTATACTATAATAAGCTACTTTATGGGATGGGATCTCTGTCGAATTTAATATAAAACTTACGGATTTTAAATTACTATTGCAGTGCGCAACGTTGGTCAATAGATGGCGCCCCATATCGAAATAGTACAATTAATTTTAATGCATTCTTAGAAGAAGCGCCGGTACTTCGGGTACCAACTGCCTCTCACATACAAAAATTACGTGTTGGGTATGTCTTGATATCCATACCCCACGCGCCTTGCGGCGCATGTGCCATCTAAGTGACAAACACCCTTTTTTGTCCGACCGGGCGCGCGGCCGACACCAGTACAAACGCGTGTAACGAAACCATAGCGCGATTCAGGATTCGGCAATAAACTAACAACGCCATCTATCGATCAGACATGAAATCATTCTGTTGCGTAGATACTTATTTATATTGTTTTAGTTGTTGATTTTGTTGATTTGTAACTTCTGGATGTAAAAACCAGGAAGACGGTAATTTCTTTATAATAAGTTAGGACAAAAAAGATCTTTAAACTCTTACACATATTGCAGGTATTCAGTTTTCTACTCGACAAAATAGTTTTACATAACAGATATACGGGCCTCATGCAGAATCCAGTTTGTTTTTACTCATAACAATCGTCAAGACAATATGTATGTATACTAACGTGAATTCCTTGCTCTGGCAGCAGTCCCTCAGCCTGGCGGCGTCATACACCAGCAACAAGGAGGCGCTGTACAGCCGCACCGCCGTCTGACGACGCGACCATTTCTGTATCTTCCACAATTCTGATAGAAACTGCAGCAGTAAGGCGCGGCATAACGTCGCTCCTATACCGTTCAGGTAGTTGCGGATTGCTGAAATTTGGAAATTGTTGGTTTATTCAATGGTTGTTGATAAAATAACATTTAACATGCACTTGGACATAAGTATCGAGGTTTGAACCGCACCGCAACTGTTTGCGATAAACCCAAAAACTACTAAATGAATTTTGATGTGATTTTCACGTGCAAAAGTGGAGTACCTACCTGTATCACAAATGACGCGACGAACATCACGCAACCCTGCTTATGAATGGGCCCTGAATGTGACTTTGTTATAAAATAAGCTGGTAAACAAGCAGACGGATCACCTGATGGTAAGCTATCGGCGCCGCCCATGGATACATTAAACACCAGAGGTGGAACAAGTGCGATGCCTTCTGGGTATTAGGAATTTGAGGGTTATTGGGGAATCTGAGGGATTGGAAAGTTTGGAGAGGCGGTAATTGGGCTTCCGGTAAGCTCACTCACACGACGAAACACATCGCAAGTGTTGTTTCGCGTCGGATTTCTGCTCGGCCGTGCACTCCGACCGAGACCGCGATGCGTGCCGAGGCATGGTTCTCCCACTTACTTGAAACTACGTAGTTCAGTCACTTCATCAAACAGTTACGTAAAATATAACATAGTAAATAGTTTAGTTACCTTCTTTAACAGCATGTCCGTGCAGCCGCTTCCCGTAGTCCTTGTTATACTTGCAGAGCTTGCCAGTACTGAGTCTGTACACCTGGAACCCTGGGATACAGAACCCGTACTGCTGCTTGCATGCTGCGTACTTGCTCTGCTCGTTCTTTATCTTCTCCTCCGTGGCCAGCGGGTCCCACGTTCTCTTGCCTGGAAATATTAGGTTTGAAGTTTTGAAAATTTATCCTTATATCTAAATCTGAGATTGGGCTAAATCTATATCTGATTTACCCTTCGTTACGCGATATGGGTACCAGAGTATGTATAACCACGTTTCCTGTACGAAGGTGTATGGTTGGAAAAAAGGTGGAAGGATTTGGAGTTTCACAATTAAACTTAAGCAATATTCATATAAAAAAATCTTATCCTACTCTAGGATTTGCTCTTGTATCGTGGGTGCATTTACAAACATACTAGTTCACATACACATCACAACCAGACCCGAAATAACAATTTGTGGATCGCACAAAGAGTTGTTTCGCGCGGGAATCGATCTCGCGACACGTTGCACGGCAGCCGGTTGCCTAGCGACCGCACCAACAGTGCAGTCATATTATATATCATACTAGCAGCCCGTCCCTGCTTCGCACGGGGTAGACAATTATTTATTTTTGGAAATTTGGATTGTTGTAGTGACATAACTACAATAATTGGACATATGCTACCACGGAGTTTTTTGTAGACACTATGATGTACTTCAATATTGTTGTACCTACATTATTTTTTTCTATCGCTAATAGTTTCGGCAGTGCATTCGACGAAAGACACTTTAAGACTAATTTTTCTACACCTTCGGTTACATTGTACAAATTTTACCAAGAATGCCTAATTTTTACCCGACTGCCAAAGAAGGAGGGTAATGTTTTTCGAGTGTATGTAAGTATGTATGTATGTCTTTTCCTTTGTGACCACCTGTAGCCTAAACGGCTTGATGGATTTTGATGTATGAGGTATCGTTAGATTTGTCTTGATTACGGGAGTGTCATAGGATACATTTTATCCTAAAAGTCCCACGGGATAAAGACATAATAATATTTTTTCTAAATTTCCCTTTAAAAAAATATGTATGCGGTATCATTAGATTCATTTCAATCACGGGAGTAATTAATATAGGATACGTTTTTTCTCAAAATTCCCACGGGAACATGTTAATTCTGCGTCAACGCAAAGCAACTCATGCGTTAGCAAGCAAAAAGATAGGGCGTGGCCTGGCATGCGGCGCGCGGCGCGGTGCGGAGGGGGATATGCTCGAGTATACAGCCCGATTGCGGGCACACGCATGAGGGCACACGTCGTTGACGGTCGTCTCTAAATAGCGATTTTATTCGATATATCCCTATTTGTATATATCGAAATAAAAACAGCTAAAAAGTTATAAATAAAAAAATTATTATTAAAAAAACAAAATACCCGACTGCACACTAAAAAAAGAGTAAAACAAGCCCCACAATAATATTGATCAATCAAATGCTAAAAACTAATTATGTAATACCGTTTAAACAATACCTATATTAAAATACACTACAATATGTGTTCGTAATCGATAGTTAAATAAACAGAAACTTATTTTGAATACAAATTTACTGAATATAATTTATAAATGTTGATGGAATGCATCGCAGGCGGGGACCAACAGAGGCTTATTTATAGTCATTTCGGTTGTGCACCATTTAGCAGAATTTTCGTTGGTGGCGGTCAAGGTGGTCCCCGCCTGCGATGCTTTCCATCAACATTTATAAATTATATTCAGTAAATTTGTATTCAAAATAAGTTTCTGTTTATTTAACTATCGATTACGAACACATATTGTAGTGTATTTTAATATAGGTATTGTTTAAACGGTATTACATAATTAGTTTTTAGCATTTGATTGATCAATATTATTGTGGGGCTTGTTTTACTCTTTTTTTAGTGTGCAGTCGGGTATTTTGTTTTTTTAATTTTCAAAATGAATTGTAGCCTATGTTAAATTGGAAGAATGTAGCATTCTATTGGTGAAAGAATGTTCTAAATCGTCCTAGTACTTTTTGAGCCTATTCATTACAAACATACAAAAAAAGGTACAAATCTTTCCTCTTTATAATATTATATATCATATTGTTATTATACGGAAGAGAATACCTATAGAGGAGAGAGAATAGAGGTACCTATCATACTTCGATATAAGAATCAAGTATGAAGTTGAACAACAAATGATCGTTGAGTGTTCCTAAGCTCTTAGGCACACGGGTATACCACGCAAGGAGTTAGTGATTAATTTAAACCAATCTTTTGATTTTTAGTTATCTGTATAATGCGGATATCTATGTAGTAAGGTGAGTCAGTAGAGACGGTGTGCAGTGCGCGGTGACGCAACCTGGCCAATATTTATCTGCAGATTGTGATGGACAATAAAACTTTACTATTTGCAAACTTCTGATATATAGTTCACGTTGTAAAGATACGATATTATTCACTACCACTGGTCAAAGCAATCTGAAAGGTCTACACGATGTAGACAAATATCTACTACATTAAATCACATCAACTGCCCGTGAGTCCTCTACTGGACTTCGGGCGTCCTATATAAGAGATGTTTGGCGAAATCTTTACACTTGGCAATTGCAGATTACAGGTTCAGGTTTATCAGAAAGCGCTGCTGTCTGGACTTTGTCAAATATGTTGTCCCTTAGTCGGCTCTTGCAGTCTCAGTCTCAGGCGACATCCTAAAGATACCTACAGAGAAAAGTCCATTAGGTACATAAATAAATATACCTATATGTATAATACTATGTGTATAATTAATTATGAAAACTTGGGTAACTGTGGACTGCCTCGTTGGCCGAGTGGTCGCAAGTGCGACTGCCGGTCAAGGGGTCTCGGGTTCGATTCCCGGGTCGGGCAAAGTACTACTGGGTTTTTATAAATTCTCAGTAGTAGCACGAAGTCTGGAATGGTGCCCGGTATATGGCAATAGGCTCATCCACTATTACATGGGACTCATAACATAAATAGTGAAAAGTGGGTGTTACATTGTACAGTGGCATATAATGTACACCTCTGCCTACCCCTTCGGGGGTAAAAGGCGTGATGTTATGTTATGTTATGAAAACTTGGGTAACTTATTGTTTATTTAGTGCTTGTATTAATTTATTTTGTTGCAAAATTTTTGACATTTTTGCTATTGATTGTTTATTTAATGCCTGTTATAATTTATAATTTATATTGTGATTAATTTATGAAATTTTATTAATTATTTATGTTACAATTTTGAATGTGATGAATATTTTTATACTTTAAATAGTGTATGCCTAATGGGCAGCTTTTTGCGCTACTATAATAATAATTTTAAGACCCTTTTGTATCACCAAAAAGCACACGAATAAATACTTTGACTTTGACTTTGACCTAAAACAAGTTACTAACCAATCTTAACATCCATAATACAAGGCTCCAGCATCCTCTCAGTTAGGTCCTCCAGTATGATGTAATCCTGCTCGAACCCATTGTACGTGTACTTTCTGTTGCCGAAGTATTTCGCCACCAGCCCCCGCAGCTCCTGCAGCTCAGCTTGTGAGCTAGTCTTCAGGTGCTCGTAGAAGTCCACCTCTCGCTTCTGAGACTCTTTTATGATAGGTTTCATTATCGTGCCATTGTTGCATTGGAGGAGACCTGGAAAAAAATTAAATATCGTCTTTAATCATAGGTAGGTACTTAATCTATCTGGATGTTGTCTTTAAACATAGGTAGATATGTGCTTAATCGATCTGGGTGTTTTTTTCATGTTTTTAATTCATTTCTTAGACTATTGCATTTTATGAACACTGATCACAAGGTCATAGATTCGTTCCATATCAAGGTTAAATAAGTAGGATAATGCTTACCTATAGTAATGGAATTTCGAATATCCGTGTTTTTTGTAAAAAAATCTCTGTACACTAATTGCCTGTTACATTAGTGGATTTGCTTTGCAGTTCCTACTTTCTATAAATGTTTTATTCCAGTTTTGCAATCTAATCCTACTTCTACCGAATGTCAGGTAGAAAGGTCACAATAATACCATTAGAGTGCAACCTAACTAGCCAAAAAATTTGCGACCCTATAATGATTACAAAATAAGGCACAGTTTTCTCTAAAGAAACTACTGCTGATGTTGCGATCAGCGAGGTCATCATTGTTATTTCCTTACCTAAGTACTTAGTATCCTCAGTCTTCCTGTGTCCGGCCACCTGGAGCGCGTAGGCCTGGACTTCTAGCGGGCTGGTGGGCATGAGTAGTGGTCTGGCCGTCATGTCGGCGTCCTGGCGCCGCATGCAGTAGTGCACCTGGTAGATGGAGCGCTGCCGCCGCACGCTGCTACCGCTGCGTCTACTCTTGTCTGATACATCGCTCATTTAGTTTTGAGCCTGGAATTAAAAATACACAATATAAGCTACATATAACACACAGTTACTTCCATGTCTATTAGTTTATAGGTGCACAGACAGTGCCGGATTAGCCACGTAGCAAGAGTAGCAAATGCTACGGGCCCCGCGGATTGGAGGGCCCCGCGCTCAAATAGGTATTTCGTAATTACCTACACCACTTCAACAGCAAGACTTATGAAGAAAATGTTTTGTTTACAAAACTACTACCAACCTACATGTAATTTGATTTTTTTTCTTAACGAAATAAACGAAAAAAGACAAATAGTCGGTATTTTGTATGTGTAAGAAAAGGAAAGTTAGTATTTGTGCGCTTGGTTGGTGCCATTGGCGGGCGAAACAAGCTCGATTTAAACGAATTAAAAATGAATTAAGGAAGACTATGGGCCAAAAACGTCTTAATCATCTCACAATATTGAATATAGAGCATGACTTGCTTAAAGAAGTCGATATTGAAAGTGTAATCGCTAAATTTGCCCATAACAAATCCAGAAAAGTTTATTTGTAACAGTTTTGTTTTATGTAATACCCTAAATAACGACAAGACCAAATTTGTATGGAGCGTGGTGCCTTTTTATTTTTTCGCGGCAGTTTATTGGATGTGTAAAAACTGATGCAGAATAACATTACAAACAAAAAAATAGTATGGGGTCTTATATCAAAAACACAGTCCAAACCGAGTTAAATCAGTTCAAAGATGTGAAAATAGTGCTATATAATTCCTTTTATTTTGTTGATGTTGACCGTACACAACGCATATTTCTTCATTTACTTGTCAGAAATATTTTGTAATAAATGTTTATAAACGATTTCAAGGAATATAGTCAAGCTTATAGTGGACTTCTTTATCTTTTTTTATAAGGCCACGGAATCATAACAGAGTCAAACATTAACTGGCCACTGTTCAAGTAAAAAAAAAAACATTTTGCTTGCTTGGCTAGCGTGTTCACTTTATACCTATGTATACGGTTTATGGCCTATGACAGGTTTTCATGTAAGTTTCAATATCTTCTCAGTCGAAAACCCGCAAAATACTTTACTGAGCCCTATCACGAAATGCTATGTTTGTCTGTTGTCAGCTGCGGCGTCGGTGGCGAATTGAGCAGTGACAATCGTCAAAACACGAAAAAATGTTTTTTCCGTCTACTTCTCCCGACTTACTCCCGATTAGTCACTAATTTAACTACAGTTAATACTCTAATCTACAGCTAGCATAAGATTCTGTACAAAGATCGTCATTCAGTCACAAAGTGATGGATTATATTTCGACTGATCACATTATATGAAAAAAAATTATACGCTCATATGACGTAGTATATCACTTTACAAAGTCGACGGTTTCCTTTCTTCAAAAGATTATGCGAACTATAAAGTAGATGAGTCTCCCACCAGGAGTCAGTGTCTAAACAAAATATACTTTATTAGATGTTCGCACGGCTACCACCACTCAACCCACCACTGGTAACATAGCTGAGGCTCATGAAGCTTCATGACACAACTCCTAGAAGCATCCCACAAGTTATCGACTGAGAGAAAATAGGTAATAAAAATTTGTGCCTGGGAATATGAATATACATATTGTGGTATATGGTGTTCCTGTGCCCGACGTACAGTTGCGCGCAATTTAAAGTTGGGAATTGTGACAAAAATATGAATAATTTGAATAAAAAAACCAAAGTAAAATGTTTGACTTCAGCTCCTTTCAACGCTCTTAGCTCAGTCCAGACTGAGATTTCCATACATGAGCCCATAGACAATTTCGTTTGTAATGACATTCTAGACAATATTTACCACAAATTATCGACTGCCGCCAGAAAAAAGAAAGGCACCAATTTTAGTCAATGCCCAAATGAGAACCGATGGCAAACCAAGGGCCCCTTGACAAAATTTGCTACAGGCCCCGCGCTTGCTTAATCCGGCACTGTGCACAGAAGAATAGAAAATCGAAATACAAATGTTTTGATTTTACTACAAAATTAACTTTTTTTTACAAACAGCAGTAGGTACTTTTTCTTTCTTCTTATTAGTTTTGCTAAAGTACTGACTGACGGACAATTTTATTTATTGCTATATCTTTAATACGCTTATTTAATTTTTTGGACATGAACTTAATAATGCCGACCGTCACGCACAATAGGAACTATAGCGCACATAAACGATTTAAAAAAAATAATTGCACACTGCCGCATTCGCAGTTCAATTAATAAACTAACCACTAATATTTTAAAACAAAACACTGTTGTGTCCTGAATCCTTAAGATTCAAACACCTAAATTCCATCGTTACACCATCAAACTAAATAACAGACTAACTTAAGTTTTTTTGTAGTCATTCAACAAATTTGTTACAAGCAAACTACATCAACCTTACCTTACCTAATTACTTCCTCAATAAACCGTTAAAACAATTACTATTATAGTTACTTGTCACTTGTAAGTACTAGTTTCTTGTTTTAAACCTTCACAAATTACACTTAAGTCTTAAGACTCACTGTCTTTACTTTTGTAAACTGTATTAAAATCCGTGCAGCAATTTTTGAGATTATCCCGACCATACCTACACAGACAGATGCAACAAGGAACTTTTGTATTATAGTATTTAAGGATACAAATACTACACTATTGACCGATAAAATAAACAATAAACTAAAGGATACTTTTTAAACATTACCACAATACAATGTAACGCTGACGAATATTATTCACAAACTACAGTTTACGAATGATGCGGGCAATTCGCAATTAGAATAGTTATCGAACTATTGACTCAGAATTATTCACAATAACTGAACTTATTTATTAAGCAATTTATTTACCTATGTTTACTTATTTTCACGATACTTAGGTCATTGATGTTCTATGGGTCATTTAAGTCATCTTACTTAGATGACTTAAATGTTGTTATTAATTAATTAAAACTATAACTGATAAACATGCAAAACTTTGTTTGCTTTGACACGCTTTTATAGTTAATCTTATGTATGCTAATGAAACACAAACATCTTATCCTGTATTCATATTTTCAACAATCACATGATCCCAAAATACCCCGCGCTGCGCTAATCAGAAAAGAGCAAACTAGTTTTTACGTACTCTTTAATAGCTCGATTATTGTTGCATTATACCTAGTTATTCATAGGTTCTCTGCATTCATTCTTATTATATCTTTACTAAAACGTCCTTAAACTTGAACGTACCAATTTAGAAAACGAAAAAATGTCATCATAAGTTTCTAATATTTACTTTGCGAGACATTAGCGACGCATTGTTATTTACCAACATTAATCCGTTACCCCAATACTATATTTCCAATTAAACTCAAAATCTTTACCTGAACAATCCATTTTGAAACAAAAACGAATCACAAGAAAACAAAACAAAAGTAAAAATTAAATAAATGCGACCGCAAACAACACTATGAGATGACAGTCGACTAATAGATGTAGGTAGCACAAAATGGGTTTATTAGAATTCTTCGTCTGACCACAAATGACTGGTACATTAAATATTAATAATAGGTACCTATTAAGGCGAAATCACTGCGGTGGGAACCAAACTCGGAACACAACTGAAATATTCGCGAGAAACGAACGCGTTAAGGATTTAACTTTATATCTAATCAACACATAAATCAAGATTGACTTGTGTTTATCAATTGATATTTTTACGACATTCATGATATTGTGATAATATTATAAAATTACGTTTTCGAATGTTTGTTTTAGTTTTGAATAAATCAAAGTATTGAGGGAGCTAGATGTCAAATATCGCCATTAAACAGTTACAATAGATTGTTGACACACGATATTATGTACTACTTGGCTAGGCTATAAACGACACCCCCTCATATATATCCACCTTATTTTTAATTTTCCACTGTTTATTCATATTCATTTAATGTTTTACGTTAGATGACTTAGGTACTGTTTGACGAGACTACTCGACTAGTTTCAAGCTACGCTAGGGGCTCATATTTTACCGAAAGTCAGAAAAAAGCAAATCAGGTTCAGGGATGATGAATAATAGTGCTTCTGCACTGAAATCACCCGTCCTCATTCTGTGGAAGACTAGTGTCCCCCACATCTGTATCAATCATTCAAGACTGAATCATGAAAAAATACGTCTCCGCCGATAGTGATCTTTACGTGAGATGCTGAGTAAAATCGTCAAACGGTTCTCCATATATCTTTGGCAAGATGATTCATGCAAGTATAGCAGGCATGTCCGCTCGTCAGCAATCAGTTACCGACATTGATATACAGTTAATGCAGTTTGGTAGATGTTAATTTTGTTAAAAATTTCTTGTTTATAATTAAACTAGCGACCCGCCCCGGCTTCGCACGGGTGCAATATGTATATACATACAAACCTTCCTTAAGAATCACTCTATCTATTAAAAAAAACCGCATCAAAATCCGTTGCGTAGTTTTAAAGATCTAAGCATACATACGGACATACAGCGAAAGCGACTTTGTTTTATACTATGTATTGATAAATTTACTTTATTACCAAATATAATATTATTTACCAAACTGTAGTTTGGCAAAAAAACGGCTAACGCGGTGACAGTTAAGCTGAAACTAATGTTGACTTGGACTGAATCACCAACTTCGTAGTCCTTGGACCATGAATAAACAATCATCCGAAAATAATACCTCCAAATTTTTAAACTCGATAAAAATAATAAATATCGAAACCCATTAAGTCGTAGTGTATCAGGTTGCCACAGGTATGATATTAGCGACCTCTATCATTCCAAACTATTATGCCAAGCTGTAAGCTACTTTTAAGAAACATTAAAACAGTAAGTACCTGTAAGTACTAATGCACTTACATGGTGATATCGTCTCTGACAGTAAAAACATAATTATACTAGGTATACCTCTACATTTATACATGTCATATTTTGATAGAGTAGGTAAGTAGGTAGCTCATTTTAAGTGGCCAATCTGTGGCCGATATAATGACGAAGATGAACGAAATAAAAAAAAATACTTTTAACCAAAAAATAGAATGACGGTTAAAGAAAAGCTTAATGCTTCAAGTTAAGGCCAGTTTCAAGTGTTTTAAGTTTAATATATGTGCTTGCGCAGACACTTTTTTTTTTTGTTTTTATACTTTGTAGGTCGACGTTTGACCACCATCTCGCCTGATGGTAAGCGATGATGTGGCCGACGATGGAGCACGCCTACCTACGAGCAACCTGTTCACTCGGGACTTGAAGACACCCAAGTCATATTTGGCGGGAAACACAGCCTTCACTTAAAAATTTAATTAAGTAGGTAATTGCTATATTGGAGCGATTGGAACTAAGTATTCAAGTGTTATTACGTAGGTTCTAAATAATAGAAAAAAATCTAACTGACAACATTTGATTACAAATAAAACAACAACTAAGGTAGCATAACAATAATGTATTCACAGTTTCCATTATCATTTTCAGAGATCACTTATTTATCATATTTATAGAACCCTTCACCAGTTTTCCTGCCAAACTTTCCTTCGCTGACGAGCTTGTTTAAGAGAGGTATGGGCTCAAAGGCCGGTAGTCCAGTCTTTTCATGCATGACACCTAGGACGAATTTCTTTGTGTCTAGGCCTGTGAAGTCGGCCAGTTCTAAAGGACCCATGGGGTAACCAGCGCCAAGTTTCATAGCTATGTCTATATCCTCGGCTGATGCGTCACCTGCAAGAGAAGATTATGTTCATAATATTATTGATTGCGAAATAATCTTAATGCATTATTTGTAATTGATTGAACATATGAAAAGAGTTCGTGATAGTATTGTTTTGGAAATAGATATTACTATGGCTCCCGATTTTCATGCATGCAAGTACCAATGTGACTTTCGAAGATGTACTTTGTAAGATTATTCAGACACCACTGACAGACGGTGAAGGAAAACGAGAAGAAGAGAGAGAAAGTTAAACCTTCTCCGTGTGAGAAGAGAATTTGCTCAGCAGTGGGCATTTATGGGCTGTTGATGATACAACTATGCATTTAAGTAAAGTTTCATCATGATGATCATCAGCTTATAACTGACTGACTGTTGGGTCAGCTCACACTGATAAAAATTGATCACCACGTCTTACTCAAAGGAAAAATATGATCATCAAGTCTATGTCCTGGTTTCCTCACGATATTTTCCTTCACTGTTAACTAAAGTTTACTTAATAGGTACCTATCACATTTAGAGCATTCATTTCAAAGTTAATTGATGACAATTTCATCAATACATAGTATAAAACAAAGTCGCTTTCGCTGTATGTCCGTATGTATGCTTAGATCTTTAAAACTACGCAACGGATTTTGATGCGGTTTTTTTTAATAGATAGAGTGATTCTTAAGGAAGGTTTGTATGTATATACATATTGCACCCGTGCGAAGCCGGGGCGGGTCGCTAGTGAAAGTATAAACCATAGATGAGTTAGGTCACGTATGCCTGTTGCAGAAAAATAATTGGGTTTTCCGTTCCTTCGAGCTTACGTAACTTAGAGATGAAATTGGTTTAAGACTGAGTTTCCTTCGTTTTTAAGCAAACGGAAGTCTTTTGAGAAGGGATGTACCTACCTATGACTAAGAGCTCGTATACAAAACTGCGATGCGACGACGCATCGCAAAAATGTGCGAGCTCACTCTAAGCATCGCAAGAACTTGCGAATTGATCTGCATCGCGCAACACAACCTTATTTTCACAAATTCTTCTTTGTTTCTTTTTCCTGTATCTCCTAAGCAATAACAAAATTGCATAGTTCTTTTTACGATCCATGTCACGACCTAGTTTTTAATTTAGAATACTTTTAGTACGGTTGACAGTCGTCGCAGGAATGGTCAACCTGGGAGACGCCTTGTCGCACGAAATCGCATCGCATCGCAATTTTGTGTACGAGCCCTTAAACTGTCTATGATTTAGTTTCATATTAAATATAGCTGCCTAAAATAATTTAAAGAACGAGTACGTAACTACAGTTAACCAAAACGTACAATGAGTAGGTAATCCCAGTGAGTCAGTGGCTCAGATCATGGCTATTTTCATTGTATGCTCACGCGTAGTTTTCACAACGTTGGAGTTGTGAAAACAAATACTACTTTAAAGTTTTATCTTCATTAAATCCTTGTTGACGTCACACCGTTTAGTCTGGCGCAAAATAGGATTATTGAGGTATCTGGCCTGCTCATGTGTGTCTGTAATAACATCACGGTTTTTAGCCCATAAATGCTGAACATGTAACATGAGACCCACCTACAAATCCGTGGAATGAGGTATCTATGGTTTGTGGTATTATCATACTTTTTCAAAATTTTAAAACATGCTGACTGTTGTCTTAGAATTCCGAGGGCTTAGTATGAGTTTGTTTTATATTCAAAGTAATTGAAACGAGTCCCCGTCCAGCGCTCTGATTGGGCATACCTACTCGTTTCGATGACTTGAATGGGCTTTCTCGTAGTAAACAAGTCTATGTGGAGGTATATGATTGTAGGTACTTATTTTATAGTGTTATAGGTACTCTAATATGATTTGGCAACAAGTCTGTCTACTACATAAATATACCATATCATTTAAGTTCCAACCTGTACCACTACCACTTCTGCTTACCCTGTCAGTGTCAGCAAACACGATACATAATATTATTATAACGATACATTTGTATAATGACTGCCAACAGTGGCATATACCTAATTGATAACAATTTCTTGGAACGAGCACACTATTTTTAATTATTATAACACGAATACAGGAAAAAGTCTTAAAAATTGAATGACTAAGTTTGAGATACGATGACAAAGAACAGAACACATTACAATATACTTACATTTAGTGTATTATCGAAACACATGTACTTGCCACACACCGCGATAACAATATTATTATTGTGATGGTAATCAATTAATCATTACTTGTTACATAAGTACTGAAAATACGTACGTACACTCTGTAGAAACAGCATCAAACATAATTCTTTTGCGAAGTACGTTTAAAAAACCGACTTCAACACCCTTTGTTTTTTAAGTCGGTTAATTAATGTAGGTCAAAACCAACCAGGTGCAACAAATACTTTACTGTAAACCGCATCGAAATCGGTTCAGTCGCGAGATAGTCGCGCAAATCATGCATACATAAAGGACAAACAGAGAAACTCCCTCTTCTTTCTTTTGAGTTATTTTTTTAACATAACATAACATCACGCCTTTTAGTTCCGAAGGGGTAGGCAGAGGTGCACATTACGGCACTTAATGCCACTATACAATGTAACACCCACTTTCACTATTTATGCTATGAGGCCCATGTAATAGGGGGTGAGTAGAGGATTCAATCCCGGCCCATTTTTCCAGTCCCGGGATTTCGGGATTATCTAAAGTCAATCCCGGGATCCCGGGACAGTCCCGGGATAGAAAGAAGTAACAGAAAGACAGTAATTTATATATCAAAATCAACTATTAATCATCAGTTCAATCTACAAAAAACGAAACAAAAATAATATTTTCTTCTAATAAAATAATAAACAAACAAACAAGGAACTTCTTTACTTAGTGTAATAGTTTGTTTATTTTGATTCACATAAAATCTTTAAAAAATCAACTTCTAAACACTTGTTTAGATAAAAATTAAAAATGACTTAATTCTAAAGAGATCAGTAATACAAGGTAATTTATAAATTATTTCTTTCAACTTCGAAAATAATATCGAAGAAATAGTAAAGCATCCAACGACTCATCAGAAAGCTTGCTTCTTAATTTGTTGCACAAATATGAAGAGGCAGAAAAAGCGCGCTCAGGCTCAATGGAAGTTGGAGGAATCGTCAATAATTTTTTATAAGTCTTCTCCAAATTATAACCTTGTGTGGAACTAGCTTCATAAAGATTCATTTCTTGTTTAATGATCTCAAAAAGATCCGTTAGCAATTACAAATGAAATCAGATGTGTAAACAAGATGGCCGTTAAAACTTCTAACGTGCGTTTCGCTTCGTTTCATGCATATTTTTATTCTACATCACAAAAATGAATCTCAAAATGCATTGGTAAGAGCATAAATTCCAATCCCGAAAATCCCGGGATACTTAAAAAATAATCCCGAAAATTACGGGACCGAAATTTGATCGGGATCCCGGGATCGAATCCTCTAGGGGTGAGCCTATTGCCGTATACCGGGCACATTTACAGACTCCGTGCTACTACTAAGATTTTGAAAAACCCAGTAATACTTTGCCCGACCCGGGAATCGACACTGACATATTTTCATAATTTTGTAATTTTAGAAGTTGTGTGTATAATGAAGATGTGAGAAAAAACTACTTATGATTGCAAATCACAAGCACTGTGACATTTTTGTTGACGTAAGTTTTGAGATGATATAAAATGTCGACGCGAGTCCAAGTATTATAATAGCGTATAGGCAAAATTATTTCTGGAGAGAATCAGTATTTCAGGATATAGGTAATTAAACCTTAGCACTATGCCCATAAATTTGTTCTGCAGACTGTTGTGACGTCACCCATAATCACCTGACTGAATGTATCGTTAGATATTGATGTGTAATCAGTTAAGTTCATTGATTAAAATGCAAGGTTTTAATTGTAATTTATATGTAATCAATCTATGCTTCAAGTGGAGTTGAGTAGAACAGATGCCCTCCTCGTGTCTAGCCCGTTGAGTAGACATGAAGACGGTCGAATGGTAGGCTAATTTTGGACAAAGCCGGGGTTGTCCAAAAAGGTGTTTTACAGACGGTATTTTTACAGTAGCTGGAAGCAGATAGATAAAGGATGTACCGAGAAGTATGGTAGAAAAATTGAGATGCTTATACCCAACAATGGGCAAACCTGGGTTGAAATGATGATGGTAATAAATTATCTACTGCCTGCTTCGCTCGTTTCAATAGCACAAAATATTCTATTGAACCCCTCAAGGCCTCAAGTTTAAATCTTTGTAGTAAAATTCATCAAAATCGGTTTAGCAGTTTAGGAGTCCAACCCAAACAGACATACAATCAAGCAATATCCATGAATTTATAACGTTTTAGATTGTGTAGATAAGATGCTGCAAGTTAGCGTCATTCGAGGGATATAAAAAAGTAATTGACAATAATAAACAAAGATTACAATGCAGTATTTGTAATATACGGGGAATTTACAATACTAAAATAAATAAAACAATAATATGTGTCAACGTTTTTAAATATATAATCTGAAACTGTTCAAATACATTAGAGAATATTTCCTTCTTTGTATATCAATAACGGTTCAAATCAATTCACTTGAATGTATCTGTAGTGCACAGGGTGGTCTATCATTTTAATATAATATTTTAAGAATACATAAGGATGGGTCATTTAATCTTGTAATTGATTAATCATTACTCGAGAATAATTAAATTGTGATTAATGGGAACACAAAAAATGTCACCAGTGGGAGGGGGCGGGTAGGGGAACTTTTTTTTCGTCTCTAATGGTTCTCAACAATAATTCTCTTCTAAAATAATAGTCACAAATAATATAAAATCATATAGGTATTATTTATTTTTATAACAATAGGTAAATAATATCTGCTGTAGCCTGTAAAGTGTATAACATTTTAACAATTACTTCTTATTGTACTTGTAGAATCCCTCGCCGGATTTAATTCCATATTTTCCTTCTGCCACCATTTTCTCAAGAAGTTCGATTGGCGCGAAAACCTCGTTCTTAGTCATAGAGTATAGAGCTTGTTGGGCCAATCTGTTGGTGTCCAAACCTGTGTAGTCAGCCAGCTCGAATGGGCCCATTGGAAGACCAGCTCCAAGCTTCATACCAATGTCTATATCCTCCTTGGAGGCATCACCTGGATAAGAATTATGTAACATCTTAAAAACCACACCAAAATAAAACCCATTTAAAGTAAGCATATAATTTATCAATAATGACATCTTGGGACCACCAAACTAGAAGCAGGAAGAAGGTTGTAATTAGAGTGCCATATTATTTCATACTATAATTATGTACAATAGATACTTACATAACAATAATATTAAAATCCCACCAAAGCAATTTCAGCATGCAAATCACACCAAACACCAACACATGAATAATAATAATTTTCCTCGAAGGAAGGAAATGAATATTATACATAAATAAATAATATTATTAAGCGGTTCATCGGTCTTCCTGTCTGTCTGGATGGAATATATTGACGATTTGACGCAGTTATTATGTTTAATAGCAATCAAGTAAAAAGTACAGAACCTATTTGTTGTATAATTTTTACACTTTTCCTAATAAAAATAATGATTTCTAATGTATTATTTTGAAATGCGTTTATTCAAATACCATATTGTTAAAATCCGGTATGGTTGTATAGTTCTTTGTAGCCTTGTACTACATTATTGTAATCAGTGCCTTTAGCCAAACGCCACTTTAGTGCTTTTTTTTTTTTTTTTTTTTTAAATAAAACGTTGCCCCACACTAGCTTGTCTACAGAGAGAGTAGAAATCAAAATGTATGGGGATGACTACATGTAGACAAGCGCTAAATGGCATTTGGTTACAACTGCAGAAGCTGTAGCCAGATGCCATTTAGCGCTTGTCTTGTCTACATGTAGAATAGAAAACCAAATTATATGGAATAGACGTAAATTTTGACACTTGTCAGTGTCATCCCCATACATTTAGTTTTCTACTCTCTCTGTAGACAAGCGCTAAAGTGGCGTTTGGCTAAAGACACTGCTTTACACACTTTCTAAGAGTCAGTATTTAGATGCTCTCGATACATACACACAATAACATATAGGTACTTAAGTACATATTTAATGCCCGTCCAGAAAAATTTACAAAGAAAAGGTAAAAGCATATTACACTGTTAAGGCAGCTGTTTAGGTACAAGATAAAACTTCATTTATTTTACACCCAGCCCCTATTGAACTTTGGCAGTGTACATCCTATTCTGCTCATGTTTAAAATAGATACAACCACAAAATAACCAGTAGATAAGACAAAGCCCAAGTCACCATGAATGAAAACCACCACATCAACAGAAGTGTTATTTAATAGTCTACTGACCTCTTTCCAGCATTCTAATAGCCTCAGCAGAATACGGTCCAAGGAGTCTGTTGACAACAAACCCGGGCGTGTCCTTGCAGGTGATGCAGGTCTTGCCAACAGACTTGCCCCACTCCATCATAGTCTGGTAGGTTTCTTCTGAAGTGCTATCGCATTTTATAACTTCCAGCAGTCTCATTACAGGCACTGGGTTGAAGAAGTGAAGACCGCCATAACTGGAATTAGAGATTGGGTTGTAAGTTTAAGTTTTGATTTATTTAGAGACTTTATTCAGTCCATGGTTTGCTCCCATTAAGGTGGATAAAAGAAGGGTAGAAGAATTTAGTCTGCATTCAAGAATCCACTAAAATTCAGGGTTGATTGGTCAGTAAAATTAGTACATTTAAGTCGCAAGGGCTACTTTGTCTCCTTACTTTGTCTCATAAATGATTCAAAGTATGAGGTGAGCTGGTTGACGACAACGTACATGGTGCTTAGACGCAGTAGTATAGGTTTTAATTGCGACCAAAATGTTTTCAAAATGAACAAAGACTCACCGGTCCTTTCTTTGAATTCCAGCGCCGATGGCATTGACAGAAATGCAGGAAGTGTTGGTGGCGAAGATCGTGCGCGGTGGTGAAAGCTGGAACCAGAGTATGTGACACTTGAGTGACCATCATCGTCGTATTACGTGTATAGCTACAAGACATCAACTGCTGTACATAGGCTTCCCCCAATTAGTTACTTTCAGATCGGCCTGGTATTAAGTCTAGTAAAGGCGAATATTAAATATAACTACAGAAAACAGGTTACCCTATTTCAAAATATTTTTTTTAAAAGGATTTTCGATCGTATTACCAAATGATAAAGTTGACAATCTATTGGAGACAGGTTGGGTATGTAAGTATGTTGATTGGTTGGCCTTACTAAACCATATAATTTATGTCTTTCTATGTGATCCCAATGCCCATCATTTATTATTCATTCAATTTCGTATATAAAACCTACTTACAACACAACTGTACATACATTTTGATGTTTAAATTCAAGCAACTTAACTAAGATAATTTATTATTATTATTTAAGCTTTACTCCATTATTCACAAAAAAATCACAACTATATTATTATGTGCTATGTTTAAATTTACATATTAATTATATTTTATAATAGTAGTATATTCTTGTTGGTACCTATGCAGTTTAATACTACACATTATTCAGACTTAATATTAAATGATGACTAAAATTATGTACCTAATGTCTTATGCAAATGGTAGATTTTCGTTTGTCATGTCTGACTAATGAGGAAGCTATTGTTGATAAATTCTGAATATCTAGTATATGGAAGTGAAGACTTACCACATCAAGTTTATTAAACAGCTCCTGTTTAACATCCAGCTTCTCTACAATAGCTTCCACAATCAGATCCACATCAGCCCCATCTTCCAGGTTGGTGGACACTCGGATCCTCTCAGCAGACTCCTTCACGAAGTCTGCAATCTTGGCCTCATCACCCTTGTACAATTTCTTACCAACTCTTGTAAGATTTGTCTGAATAGACTTCTGGGCTTTTTCTAGTAGTTCTGGGTTGATGTCTATTATTGTCACATTCTGACCGGCTTGTGCTGCAACCTGTGTGAATGAATTGTTTATAATAGTATTCTTTCCTATATATAGTATAAAACAAAGTCGCTATCCGCCGTCTGTCTGGCCCTATGTATGCTTCGATCTTTAAAACTATGCAACGGATTTAGATGCAGTTTTTTTTATAGTGATTCTTAACTCGTCGAGTACCGTCATTATAGACACAATTATAGAACACTAGGTTGCGGTCACCGGTGACCGCTTGGTGTTTGACAGTTTAAGGAAGGTTTATATGTATAATACACGCATATTGCACCTGTGCGAAGTCAGGGCGGGTCGCTAGTAATTGATAAGGCTGACTCCTTAATATACGAAAGTCATAACATAGCTGAGAATAGTTGCTCCTCTACCAATATCTTTGGGGAATACATAATTATGTTTGCTTTCTGAAGGGAAATGTGAAGAAACCTTGGTGTCATACAACTAATAGGAATATAGGCAATGTGCTACTATTGTGTTGAAAGTCAAGTATTGGTCTTATCAATTAAGTATTGGTTACTGGCTTTCAAATATTGATTTTTAATTTTAATAGGTATTTTTTCTAAGTTTTTCATTTCTTTTATTATGTAAGAATGTCATAAAAGATATATTTTTGTATATATCTGATATCAATGACTTGTTATCATTTAGGATTAACGGTAGAGTTTTACTACAATGTAATACTTTGATGCCTTCATTTCATAGTTATTTTTTTATTATAAATCTTATCAGACAAAAAGTATATTAGTTAGAAAACAGTTGCCATATATAAACTTTAACGATGTTGCATCTGTTTAGCATATTAAACTGTCAAACACCAAGCGGTCACCGGTGACCGCAACCTATTGTTCTATAATTGTGTCTACAAAACCGGTACTCGACAAGTTAAACTGTCAAACAGCGAGCTGTCACTGGTGACCGACCGCAACCTATTGTTCTTTAATTGTGTCTATAATAACGGTACTCAACGAGTTGATATTGTGAGAATTACACAAATTCTCATTTTATATATGCAAAACAGGTACATTTAAATGGAAATATAATAAATTAACTGTTTAGGTCTAAAGGTTGAATGCCAGGGTAAGGATATGCTCCTGAATTGAAAATGTTAATGAGTAACACAATTTGTAGCCAGTATCAATTGTAGCCAGGAGTTAAGGTAGAAAACTAAAATAGGTATTTCTAACCTGCATTATTTAGACCTCCCGTTACCTACAGGAGACTAATGGCTAAACTGGCAGATATTTATAATATTACTAGGGAAGTAATTATGAGGGTTAAGATCAACAATTAGCAGTAAGCTAAATTAATTGTTGACTATTATAGTGGTATGCGTGGGTAGTCACAATATTTAGGAAAAGTATACATTAGTAGTTAGGTAGTCTACAACTAAAGAACATGTTTACAATAGACCACTTTAACTAGAAAATTTCCCTACTCAACATGTATTTGTAATACATGTTGAGTAGCTCTAGCTATTAAATACCAGTGACCTAGTAATAAATTCTTAACGTTACGTATCAAAGAGAAAGTTTTTGTGTTTGTGCTAGATAAGCAGAAATAACTTACCTGTGCGATTCCCGATCCCATAAGACCACCGCCGACAACAGTCACCGTTTTAACAGCATTTAAAGACGCGGAGGATGAGAAACCCCTCGTTATACCGATTAATTTATTCATATTTAGCGTTTTCTATGTGTTGTTCAAGCAAAAGCCGGTCGAGTAATGACGTATCGAAATAAACAACTTGCTGGTCAAGTTGTAGAACTTTGTACCCAATTTTATGTTATAGTTAAAGCTACAAGTCTGTTTTGTAGGAAACGATGCGTAAAATGTAACTCGTTTGTCAAAGTTATTATCACTTAATATTTGTACATGATCGGACAAAGTGCAAATACTGATAATGTTTAAAAACAGCCTTATCACACATCGCGTTGGTAGTCTTATAATCTCACTTACCTGCCATAAAGGGATCTGTAGCTTACGATAACACTATACATTTTTGATAAACTGTAAGATAAAATGAAATTTATGAAATAATATTACAGAAAATCTTGTGTTTATTTATATGTCAACGTTCCTTTTCAGTCAGGAAAAATGTTGAGACAGATGTTACAAATTATACTCTTTCAATACAGCATTTAAGCCTGTACTAATGAAAGTATATTAAGAAAGCTTCTGTAAATAATAACACAATCATGTTTCTAGAAACATTTATTCATGAGAAATCAAAATTAAAACTTCAAAGGACGTGTAAACAATGCGTGTATTGAAACGTTTTGGAAAACCACATGTTTATTTTTGACATAAACTGTACAGTTCAGAAATATACTCGCTGTTGATAACTTCCTCATGAAGTTCGTCAGTCGTCATAATTTATTTTTAATTGTTTTTGAACGATTAAGAAGCAGTACCATGATTTCTAGATTTTCTGGTTTCATTTTCAACACTCAACAGATTTTAATTTAAGTTTCATTATTGGATAATGGACTACTTACTTACTCTTGTTACCTCCTTAACTCCCAAAATTTTTGGAGTATATGGATAATATTTGATTACTTACCTATTACCTATAATATTTAAAAGCTATTAGTAGTCAGTAATCACCACAGGGATGAGTGAGATACTTTTGTTTTGTTGTGAAAAACCTAAAGTTCGAGAACATAGTGAGTTCTTCCCGTAGTACGGATTAACAGCAACACTTTTTTTTTATTCAGTCAATTCAGTGTCAATCCGTCCGATTGAACTTTGGAGTTTCAATTTTATAACTTTTGAAGAAGTTTACCGAACACAAACTGTGATATAATTCTTAAAAAAAAATAACTGTTAGCCAAAATAATGACGAAATTAGTTCAATTTGGCGTGATAGCGAGGAACTTTTCGAGTTCTTCTGCTATGCAAAGTGCAATCAAGAATGTTACAGTTATCGGTGGAGGCCTAATGGGCTCCGGCATCGCCCAGGTATGCTGTAAACAGATTTAGTATTAAATTATTAATTAAAAATGCGAGGTTTCATTTCAGGACGTATACATACCATCCCACATTATTTAACCAGATGTGTAAATAAATCGGAAATGTTACCTACCTGCATTTTATCTTTACATTCATCCTGACAAATGACACTATTAGTTATTATATGTATGAATAAACGACTTTTCTATCACTACAAATTATTACACATTACTATGATACACCTACTTTTGAATTTAGAATAATTTATTCACTAAATTACTTTAGACACTTTTCACTAAAGCTATATATTTATTTGAGTTTTTGTGAATTAAATTGACATCAATTAATAAAACTTAATATATCAACAGGTGTCGGCTCAAGCAGGCCAGAATGTGATCCTGGTTGATGTAAGCTCCGATGTGTTGGCGAAATCTCAGAAGTCTATTGGTGCCAACCTCGGCAGGGTGGCTAAGAAGATGTACAAGGATAAACCCCAGGAGGGAGAGAAGTTTGTGACTGATGCTATGGCCAGGATCAAGACTAGCACTGACCCCTCCGAGGCTTCAAAGTCCGCTGACCTTGTTGTTGAGGCTATTGTTGAGAACATGAGTGTGAAGCACAAGCTGTTCTCTCAACTTGATGGGGTAAATATTATTAATTATTATGTGTCATCAATATTACCAGACAAAATATTTCAGTTTTATTCTTTTTCAAAATTTTTGAATCCTATAAAATCAACTTACAAAAGACATTATTCAAGGTTCTCGTATTAAGATAACAATCATGATTATAATTATTTAATATTATTATTTGCAGGTAGCACCAAACCATACAATCTTTGCATCCAACACGTCATCACTATCTATCAATGAAATCTGCTCCGTAGTGAAGAGGAAAGATAGGTAACATTACTAGTATAGTTATGGCAGCATGACATAACATTACATTTATTATCAATCAGTTATCTAACTAAGCTAGTCTCTGCAAGTCAGTGTATTAGAACTAGCTATGTAATCATGTTTGGTTTGTAGGACATGACAAGTTATCTAACTTATTGTGAGTATGACTTTTTTGCAATCGTGCAAATAATGCAACAAAACACTCTGTGAAGTATTTTTTGCTTGTAATTGTTTTATATATTTCCATTTATACCTATTTGTATGTAACAGAGCACCACAATATATTCTTCAATTATAACATTGAACAAAAAATAAAATGGTGATTTATTTTGATGAAAAAAATATTGCTAACTTTGTAAAAAAACCTTCAGATTTGGTGGTCTACACTTCTTTAACCCTGTGCCTGTAATGCGCCTGTTAGAAGTGGTCCGAGGAGCTGAGACTTCTGATGCTACCTACAAGACCATGATGGAATGGGGCAAAGCTGTTGGCAAGACTTGCATAACCTGCAAGGACACACCTGGGTTTGTGGTGAACAGGCTCCTAGTGCCCTACATCTGTGAGGCCATCAGGCTGTATGAAAGAGGTAAACACATGTTTTGTGTAATGAAGCCATTTGTTGTGAATACTGATTAGATTTTACTTCTTCCTTTCTGGCCCGTTTTTGTGAAAGACCCTTTTCTGGTAGCCTGTTTCCACTTCGCCGCCCAGCAGCAGTAAAGTATGTAAATGTTTTTTTTTTTCAGGCGATGCATCAGCCCGTGACATCGACACCGCCATGAAACTAGGTGCGGGCTACCCCATGGGACCGCTCGAGCTCGCCGACTACGTAGGACTTGACACCAACAAGTTCATCCTCGACGGCTGGCACAAGAAGTACCCCGACCAGCCTCTCTTCAACCCTATCCCACTGCTGGACAAACTGGTAGCTGAAGGCAAACTTGGTGTGAAAGCTGGCGAGGGCTTCTACAAATACGATAAGAAATAAGATGAATTTATGTATTGTTAAGAATCATGTTTGAATCAATATACCCATGTTAAAACATTTTAAAAAGATTTTAATTATAAAATATATACTGTATTATTTTTACTTCTGAAGTTTCTTTTCTGTTGAGCCTTAGTTGAAATGAAAAGTAGTGCTGCAGTAAAATTTATCCATTTATTTGTTTTTATAAGTACAATACATAAATGTTAATGAAAATTATTTTTCAGTAAAAGTTACACTGTCACTAAGAAATAAAGATAAAAGCTGATAATTTTATGATGAGCAATTTCTATACCTTATTGATTACATTATCAGAAAACAAATAATCTCGTACACTATTATTAATGGAAGTATTACTGAAAATTAAGAACTTCACAGTTACTATGTATTATAATAATAAGTCATCTTGTTACATGACGGAAAACATAAAACATTCCATGAATGTAATGTCCACACAGGTACCTAAATATAATATATTAATTTATATTTATAAGGAGATATAGTAGCACATTAGTGAATTCACAATGTGTAGGAAATGTTGGTACAATGGTATCTCAAACATAATTTGAAACAGTTGGTAGCCTATGACACATTGTCACGCAACTTTCATAGCAGAATACATTTCCTTCAATTGAAGTCCAGCTTTTTTTACTGTATTTGAACATTTTGTGCACGATAGTAGGATAGTTTCCAGTAAACTGAAATATTATATCTTAATAAAAAAACATGCAACCCAATTGAAGTACTTAGGCCAAGCATTTATGGCACCAGTTGTGTGCTTGTGGCCTTAAATTATTGCTAAATCAATTCCAACAGCAAGATAGTCTATTTTGTGTGCATGTTTACTGTCTCCCAAACTATTTTTGTATATTGCTACTAGCTAAAGGAAAGGCTAACTTACTGTAAAGAACTTGAGGAAATCCACAATAAAAACCAATTACATTGTTATATTAACCTTTTGAACGCCAGAGCAAAAACACATGAACCTGCCTTCGACACCAAGCCACAAATTCCACGCAAATTTCTACGAAAGAAATAGGAATTATTGGAATCCCTATTGTATCAACAATAGGGATTCCAATAATTCGTGTTTCTGGTTCCGCTTTTTCTGTCATGTATTTGTGTCGTTGACGTCCAGGGACAGTTTTCGCTTGTCGCGTATATGTGACATTGGCGGTCAAAAGGTTAAAAACCTACTATGAACCACACCAAACCTTTCAATATCCTCACTTTAGAAATATTTCTAAAACTGTTCTCAGGTAAGTTGACAGACAACTGAAACAATTGTCACTAAACTAAAAACTAAGCAAATGATTTAGGGCTCTAGCAAACAAGTTACATGAGACAGCTTCGTCCCTCATTGTGTACTTATGACTTGGCCATTATTGTGTCACCTGACAGCACCACCAACATTTGATTTGCTGACTTTTGTTTACATATTCAAATCAGTTCGGTTATTGTTTGGTCAGCTAACTGACTGTGCTACACTCTGGAAGCTGTCTGAAGTAACTTGTAAGCAGTCAAATGCCTCAATATATCAACATCAAGGGCCTGCTAGCTTGTATATAGTCTGTGGCAGTTTAGGCATGGCCGGCTTATCTGCCATTTCAAGTGCTTGCTTCAAGTTCTTCTCAAAAACTTTCTTGGCATCACAGAAACCTTGCTTTGTTTTGCCAAATGAATTTGGTCCTGCTGATGTTGGTGTTTCCCTAAACCAAAAAGCATTTTTTTAGTATGTTCCATTTAACCAATGTTGTTAATAACCAACGAATAAAAATATTTTTGTACATAGTTAAAACAGTTTTAACTCTTCGAGTACCGTCATTATAGACACAATTATAGAACAATAGGTTGCGGTCACCAGTGACCGCTTGGTTTTTAACAGTTTAATGATATCGATATGGAAAATTAAATCAAATGGAGGTAGTTATGGATAAAATTAGATAATAATTTTGTATGGTTAACAAGATTAAGAGTATGTTCCAAAAATCAGCTGGATCTGTCGTCTGTCGGATCAAGCAAATAAAACCATTAAAAAATTGGACTATGTCCTCACCTGCCAATGTTCCTCATTCTCATGCGTGCCTCTGCAGGCATTTCTTCAGGCTCATCATCATCATCAGCATTAAATACAGATGCTATGGTTGGCTTCGCAACTGGTTTGGCTGGACCACTAATGTTCATCTTGATAGGAGCTTTTGGTTTGTTGAAGCCGATTGATATTTTGGTGATGCGAGGGGGAGGGGGAGGTGC